CTACTAGCTCAGTGAAGAAGTCAGCTATCTCAGGTGAATCTTGCAGGAACACATAGCGGTCCTGACGATTGGTGAAGTAGGAATCACTCAAGTTGGCCCTACAGGAAAAAGGGGGCAAGAAAGACAATGGAAAAAGCATACATAAATCACACCAGTAAGATGCACACACACACACACACACACACACAAAGAGATATTCATAACAATATGTAGCCAAAGGCTGCCCCTTTCCGACACCCACCCTCCCCAACATTACTTAGCTAAGATGGACAAAGATATAACAGTGGCAATGTAAAGTAACACAAGGGGTACAACAATGGATAATCACAAAGACAAACAAAATTGCTGCAGATGTGCATACAATTAGAAAATAGTTGGCAATAATATAGAACAACAATAGAATTCTAAGATGTTTTAATTCTTGTTTTCAGCAAAGAGCGCCATCAAGATGACGTTGAGATGAGCAGAAACGCAGATTACGAACTTCTCGAGTTCTAGCGTTCGTTTCGATACAGTTCTTTATCAAACAAATCTCAGAATCTCAGTTCTTTAATGCTCTTCATACGAATACTTCACAAGAAGGAATTCCTAAATCCAGAAACTTTTCCAAACAGCTTTGGACTAACAATTTTCAACTTCCATCGGACGGTCTGTCTGGCAATGTTACAGATTAATGTGACATAACACTATCTGTCTCTAAAGCAAGCAGCAAGGTTTGTAGTTTGCTCCATCTTAGATGCTTTCACTCTGTGCTTTACTGAAGATCACAACCTTTCTCTATGCCCAAATAAGCAATTGCTTCCTTGTAATGGGGACTCACCCACTCAAGATCACATTATCATCAAAGAGATAAACCTTGATGTGCTGAAGCCCAATAGTCTCATTGTACCGCTCAGGGATCAAGAGTCGAAGAAGACCACGCAGGTTAGGAGTGTGGAAAAGAGACACACGGATCTGCTCTGGAAACCTCCTCAGGAGTGGAAGAAGCATGGTCCGAGAGTTCTTTCGTCCTGAATGAAAGAATGAAACGGATTTGCCAGGAACTCCACCAGTACATTGCCTTTTTAAAATCTGGATTTAAAAAGGGGTTGCTTAGTTAAACCATGTTTTATAATCTTTAATTTTTCACAGACCAGTTCAACAATGGATGACTATTGCCCATAAGGACTGAAATGCTTATGTCCTCTGATAGCTGCAGCAACACTTATTCATAGCAGCAAGAGGATTTCCACTTCCAATACTGCCATCTACCATGACAAGATGGAACCCAAGGAGGGAAGAGAAACTGGACCCTGAAATTCATCCTAGGCTGTCATTTCCTGCAGGTACACAAGGGATATTTTATAGTTTTATGGATTTTATGTATGGGCTGTAGCCCCTTGGAAGCCGCCCTGAGCCTGCTTGCGGGGAGGGCGGGGTAAAAATGTTTAAAAATAAATAAATAAATAATATTTTCCCTGAATATAAAAACTGAAATAATCTCTGCTGTGCTATTCAAGGCTCTCCGGATGCATACAGACTAGATATGAAAGTCTGCCGAATGTAAGGCTTCTCCATTTTGGCCTTTTATTACTGTTCCTCAACCCTCTTAATTTGAACTGGAATGACTCTTCTGAGCAGAGATGTCCTATTTGCTTAACTAGCCCAGTACAACAAAATAAGCAGAAATTATGACCAAAACACATGCTTACCCCGGGATCCCCTTGTGAAGTCTAACAAAATGGACACTCTAAGACTGGAAGAACCGCATGCCTGCAATGATCTTTCCAAAGCTGTTTCAATGCAATCCACCTGGAGGAATAAGACAGGCACGAAAGCACAAGGCAGTTCCTAGGGTATGTCACATTATTCATATAAGATGTATAAAAGCAAAGTACTGAATTTACAGAGAACACTGATTTGCTGAGCACTACTCTTAAACTTTCATGTTCCATTAGTAAAGTGGTCATTCTCAAACATCCCCTTCCTGCCTCCCAAAAAGGTGGAAGGGAGAAGAATGTTTCCAATCTATTTTTGTACTGCTCTGCTACAAATATTTTTAATGCCAGACAAACAAAGGCTAACTAGCTTGAGAGAAAACAGCTTGGGGATCATAGATAAGGTTGAGCGTATCCCTCCAACTCCATCCTGATTAGGATTCTGTTCCTTCTTTAAATCAGAGTTTCAATCCAATGATGATCCATCAAATCTCTCAGAACTTCATGAAGCAGAACCCAAGGATGAAAGGAAGAATACTCCATTTCCCCAGTGTCCGTGTTTCTGTGGTACAGAAGAATAAAGCTGTGCACTACTGCAACTCAAACTAAAACAGAGAAATTCCATCAAAACTAGCCTTTTGTGTACCAAAAGGTTTTTAAAAGATTTTTTTCAGCACGAAAGAACTATTTCTGAAGCGGCTTCATGATACAAGAGAGTGCAATAATACACTTTAAAATTTGGCTGCCTAAACTTCAAGAGACTAAAAAATGTTTTTCAGAAATTAAAGGGATAGTTTTGAAGGGGGTTATCTCTATTGTCTCTTTTGTATGTTGTTTCTATTTTGTAACATGGTAGTGTGTGTTTTCAGGACCCCTGAACCCGAGGATCACAGAAATACACACCTTAAAGGGGGGGAAATCCTTGGTGTTATCAGTCTATATTGACACTAGGAAAAATAAATAAAATATCATAAAATAAAATAAAAATGCCACGAAGTGTCAACTACTCTACGACTACTCACTGAATCTCCCGAAGATTGGTTTTGATCCAAAGAGCAATCCAACAAGAACCAAGATTCAACTGCAAAATCTACCTTAAGAGGGTTTTGTGACCAACTCTAGTCATTTATTTTTATTTTTATTATGTTGTTAATGAGGCTTTAACCCTGCCTTTCTGCCCCCATAAGGCTACCAAGGAACTAACACGTTAAATTAAAATATTATCTTAAAAGCCATTAAAACCAACACACAAACCACATCACTAAAACAAGTTAAAACCAAAGCTTAAAATAAGTACAAAAGATAAAAACAATCGTTAGAATATCGGGAAGGAAGCAGGGATCACTGAGTCTTACCCATTGACAGAAGATGGCAACAGAAGGGGACAGCAAATCTCCCTAGGGAGAGAGTTCCAAAAACGCCACTGAGAAGGCCCTCTCCTGAGTTGCCGGGGAACGGCATCCCGAGGCGGGGAGCAAGGGAGGGAGGCGGCCCCGAGCCCCGGCGCGTCCGCCTCGCCTTCTGACTCGGCCGCGGCTCTGCGCGCCCAGGGGGCGGCCAGGCGGGGAGGACCTGGGGCGTCAGGGGATCAGCATTGCCGAGCGGGACGGAGGAAGGGCGCGGCGGAGAGGAGTGCCTTGCCCGGGCACGCCTCTTCCTGGAGCGGGCGGGCAGGCAGGCCTGCAGTCGGCCCAGAGCCTCGGGGCAGTCGGGGCGAGTCCCGCTCACCTCGGAGGAGGCAAGGCGAGCGAGGGTGCGCTCGAGCAAGAGGCGGCGGTAAGTCCCCCCTAGAACCGTGGCTGCCGCCCTCAGCAGCCAGCCGACCCCCCAACAACCGCTGCCAGCGAGCTGAACCGGCGCTGCTCCCTCGGCCTTGGAGGTGGTGGCAGAGAGAGGCCCCTTCCTGCCCACCTTTCCTCGGCTGCGAGGTGCTCCCGTTGAGGCGGACAGGCACCCTCGCTGCGCCTGGGCTGGATCGCGCAGCGAGAGAACACAACCCGTCCAATGTCAGCCTCCAAATGCCCTTGGGGGGCGCACCGGGGACACGCGGACTCAGACCCCCACACACACACACCACCCGCCACGGGGAAAGGACGCCCAGAGCGTGTCTCCAGGCCCTGCCGGGAGGTTGGCATCTGCGCTCGCCTAGAGCGCAGGACAACCTCGGGCCGGCCCTGCACAGAGTATGCTTTAAAATGAGCTTTTGCCTGTGCCTTATTGGATCATAGTAATAACATGCTTGTAACAATGGTTGCACAATGTAAACAAGTTATTAGTTTTCCAAATTCCTCAGACAAAAGGACTATCAGAAAGCTGAAAGCATTATAGGATATAACACTCTTAGCATGCAAAACTAGCCAGCGTCTCCACAAGGCATGCTTGCTATTCCTCAGGGCAATGCCAGAAGCTACACTCAGCCTTCAACCAAACAGGTTTGTGATGGGCATGAGCCTGGTTTGTTGTGCTCACTTGATGCATCCTCAAAAGCCAGGATTAAACCATGATTTAGAGACTTGCTTTGTGTGAAGAAAACTCCAAGCTGTCCAGACACCCACATTTAGAGTTCACACCAAACTGGGTCTTGAAATTACTACGTCTTTAGCTGGGAAGGGGGAGGAAGGTGGGAGGGCAGAAGCACAATAAGCCAGGTTTGTGCCCATCTTTGTTTGCAAATGTCTGAACAGAGCCAAAATGTGGCAAACTGTTCCATGAGAACCCATACAATCTGATTTAACTCCTAGCAACAATTTACATTGCAGTACTGAATAGCTTGCCTTGCCTTCATTATTCTATTACTGTTGTGAATTAAGATGGTAAAATAAAAATTCAACAGCATCTTCAGGAGGAAATATTGCCTATGGCATCTCTAAATAGCTTCTTGCAAGCTTATGCAGCCCCTGTTTCAGACACCAACACTTACTAGTTCCTGCTCCAGAGGTCCTGTTCCAAGGTACAGTGAAGCTAGAACCACTCGCTTCTTGGCCACCTTTATCTGTCCCTGAGTAAAAGAAAGAAAAGTTTAGGTTCACTGATCTTTCACCAAAGGTCTTCCCAATAGGATACTCAAGCCAATCAAACCTATCTGGAATCAAGCCTACACGAAAGAGAAGGAAACCTACCCACAACTGAACAGGAGATGGAGATGATTACTGAGTTGTGAGGGGCCACTTTTTCTGTGCATGCTCAGAAACAAATGCTTTGAACCCCACTAATTTTCAAGGCGGCAACAATCTTCCATTAGAAAAACCAGGCATACTTCCCTGTTCAGAGACTCTTGTAGAAAACAAAAGTTAAGTACATTTAGGAGGAACAGTGCAAGTCAAAGCTGCCTGCCAGGAAGCCACAACCCAAAGCTTGCAAGACATTAAGGAAGTGAAGTGCCCAGATCCAAGCAGGAAATTAAAGGAAGGTATATTTGCTATATGCCAACACCCAGGCAGTTAAGTTCTGTGCCAACTTAACTTCACAGGGCAAAGTACAGGGATTCCCCCTGTATCATATTTTCTTCAATTACTCAGATAATGCAAACAAACTTGTTTTTATAATAAGCTGAGAGAAAAATTCTTATTCTGCCCATAATACCGCAAGGCATGTTATTTTTCTAGATGCAAGTGGACAAAACAGCATTCTCATCTACTTCTTTTGAAGGGCCTGATTTTTAATATATGAAGCTGCTTTAAAATAAGCCAGACCAATGGTCCTCCTAACCCTTATGACAGGCAGAATCTCCCCAGAGTTTCAGCCAAGGATCTTTCCCAAGCCTGCTACCACAGATTCGGGTTTTTTTAAAAAACTGGAGAAGGGCATATTAAATAATGGAACACCATGGCCTCCTATCACTCTTAGTGGTGTTCCATTATTTAATATGCCCTTCTGATAAGTGGTATCTGTAAGTATGCAGGTTGAAGACATGTTATATTTACTTGTTACTGTTTAAATACTGCCTTCTTGTAATTGCAAATATTTTTGTGCTTTCAGGACCAAATTAATAGAAGATTGTCAGTTCTTGAAAAAGGGTCTTCTCAAAACAGTCTTTATCCATCGGGATTTGCATATTAAATAATGGAACACCACTAAGTGTCCATCGGAATTTGCTCAGCTGATAAGATTTCTGATTGAAGTCCTTGTTCTAACCACCACAGGAGGTCTATTTGGAGACTGTGCACGTACAGGAGGACTTCAGCTTGTATATTGCGTATTATGTACTCATCATTAGGTGGTCCTTAAATTGTTAATGCCAATATTTTTTTGGATTGTTCATGTCTTGCATAATATGTACTTGTATCTTCCACCTTATATGTTTATAATTTCTATTTAATCTCTATAATTAATTCACTGTGTTGGATTAAATTATTGTATTATAATATATGCTATATATTGTTAGTTAGCTTGCTTCACGGTGTTCTTATAGTTTTTTATATCATCTAACCGTGATCCCCATTTGTATTTTAGACACAAAAACACAACATTTGACCTCTATACCTTTTCCCCACCCTAAATGACACACATGTTGGAGGTACACCAATCACCTTCATAAGTTCAAAGAATTCAGTTGGAGATGAAAGCACTTTGACACGGGAACTGGCAATCCCAAATTCCGGAACAAAGTTTCTGATCCACTGAAACCTATGGGATCCCTCAGGGCAGAGGCAACAAGGTGGAGTTGTTAACTGAGGAACAATAGGAGACAATAGTGGAGCCAATAACAGCCATGATGACCTAATAGGAGAAAGAAATGAGTAAGTTGTATTCATTGAAACGGCGTATGAGCAAAAGAGTACAGTTTAAACAGCTACATTTAACATAAGACTGCATTTCACATCTGCCTTTTACCTCCATTAGTCACAACCATTGTCATTTTTGCCAGGAAGGGAAATGCCAGACTGCAAGCAGAAGGCAAACCAGACCAGTACGTCAATCCCTTTAAGGATAAGGAGGGAAGGGTGGGATATAAATCCAAAATAAATAAAATAAAGGTGACCAGCATTGTGGAGGAGCATCAAAAAAAAACCAGCAGGTGAAGCAAAAGTAGGTAACTCCCGGCACATGTGGCTAACAGTGGTATGGCAGACCATTATCAAAGGCACAGAAGGCCAGTTCTCTACCCAAGAGATAAATTACTGCAACTCTGCTTGTTCCCAGTGGTTCTATGAAAAAAGGCTGCACAAAAGGCCACAGAAAAAAAACCACAATCATAAATGCCCACATGGGAAAATGCCCACACGGAAAACTGCCCACATGGAAATAAGCCTTCGTGGGAAAAAGCCCACAAGGAAAAAAGCCCATACACAAAAAAGCCCACATGGAAAGAAGCCCACACGGAAAAATACCATATAAAGTACCATGGATATTTACACCTGGGATTAAAACATGTCATATTCACATGCAACAATTTGTGTTGTGATTTTATCAAATATAATTAAACTAGGGAGCAAAGCCCGTTGTGGACGGAGACAACGAGCCGGAAGGAAGGAAGGAAGGAAGGAAGGAAGGAAGGAAGGAAGGAAGGAAGGAAGGAA